AAAAGAGATAACCAACAAGGACCTACTGTATAGCACAGGGAACTATATTCAATACCTTGTAATATCCTATAAGGGCAAAGAATCTGAAAAAGAATATGTGTATATATAAAAACTGAATCATTGTGCTGTACACCTAACACAACATACTTCAATTTAAAAACCAACAAGGACCTACTGTATAGCACAGGGAACTATATTCAATACCTTGTAATATCCTATAAGGGCAAAGAATCTGAAAATGAATGTGTGTATATAAAAACTGAATCATTGTGCTGTACACTTAACACAACATACTTCAATTTAAAAAAAGAAAATACACACATCTCAGTAGAATTTATGAGAAGAAATTTATAACAATGAGAAGAAAACAGTTCACACCATTAGGAAGTTTTTAGACTGACTCCGGGAACCATCTGGAGTAAGTCAATCTGGTAAAATACACTCTACACAAGGCGTTCCCCTTAAACCGGTATTCCCATAAGCTATTACCAGAAGACGGCTTGTTCCATCTCTTTATCTTAAATACAAAGGTGAGAAAGGGTAAGCAATGACTTTTGCTACGTGTGGCTTCCTTCAAGTCAATAATGAATGCTTGGGATGTTATCAAAGGAAACACGATATCAATTGCAAAATATGGCTTTAATTTCAGTTAAAGGTCATTAGGCAAAGTATAATAAAACATAAGGCAGAAATTTTACTTTGTCAAATATTTAGCTAAAATAGATCTCAGAAATTCCTTATTCCACACATACATTTTTCTATTACTACTTTCTGCTATGACCTTTTAGTGGAAGAAGTTATAGATATGGATGTAATACAATAGACATAATTAAAAATATATCTTACAATTCCAATTCATATCGACGTCGGCAGATGTCAAGATACAAAGTGTATAAGCACTATTGAAACTGATTTGCACAGAGAGATAGCAGTTGGTGGTTTTGTGAAGATTAGCAAATCAAAAGATGTTAGTGAGCTGGAATTTTTGGTGTAATTTATCAAATTCAAAACCAAATCTTTTGTTTACATCTAGTACTTAAAATGCTTAAGACTAACAAATTAAATAGGTTTATGTTGTATTTGAATTATAAATGGGAAAAAGTAAAAATCACATGAACTGGTAAAACACGTTAAAAAGGACCTAAGACTAATATCATAATAGGTGAACAATTTTCATCTGAAATAACAATTCCTGAAGATAAGGTATTTAAGATCCAGATAAAATCGCCGGTCACAGAGGCCCTTCTTCCCTGAGAAGGGCTGAGGTGACACACAGCTCTGCCTCTCACCAGCAGAGAACTTGGGCAAATCTTTTAAACCTATCTGAGCATCTGTATCCTTCTCTGTAAAAGAGGCACAGTGACAGAAGGTGGTTGTGAGGATTAAATACGCTAATGCATGTAAGATGCTTAGGACAATGCCCGGCAGAGTAGGTGCTATCCATAAAATTTAGTTTATCATCATTTGCTAACTGAACATACCTAACGTGTTGGTGATAATTCAGTGACTATGTAGGAATCAATGATTTGCTAGAACGTACACTTAAAATTAGGAAAATAAAGGGGAACAGTTTTCCTAGAACATAAAAGGACATATTGAAAATTGGGGAGTATATACCCATAAATTTCCCCTTCATCTTAAAACTTTTAAAAGTGTGCTGAACGTAGGGGTAATTTCCCAAAGAGCAAAGTGGAAAATAAGTTTTTATTTGGGAAAAACAGGATTGATTAAATAGCCATATCAAAGAGTCAGTTTACTGGCAAAAAGCTGTTACAGAAATATACAAAGCATCCCAGTCATTTGACTTAATTTGTGTTTTACGTCACTGAACTCTGTACACATTTCCAGACCCTGACTTTTTCTCTTTGAGAGGCACTATTTTCCATATCCAAGTAACGAAAATAATTATTGTTTTAAAATCTAATCACTGGTTTATTTGAGAAACTGCTGGCAAGGATTAAGGGAATTATGCAATAAGAGTCCTGTCCTAATTAGGCCCAGATTAATTTATAAAATTTGGAACAAAGCATTGAGCTTTTTGTCCACTTATATTAAAACATCTTGACTTCAGATGAGAGGTAAGTTTTCTGTAGTAAAATTGTCTTGAATATTTTAAATATTAAGTATGTTACTTTATTTAGCTTCTCTGTGGAGGATTTATTTCATTTTAACATCTAGATGTACATGAAAGTACAAATCATAAATCAGTTGAGAGCCAAAGTAGATAATGAATCTCTCTGCCATTTTCTATAAAGTCAGCAATGTACCTGCACCTGTGGAGAGGAATTACGATTCATTCTTTAGGACAGTCCCTTTAAATGGAATCCCAGTAGAGAGCTTTGAGCTTTATATTAATGTTCTCAAGTATGTATGCGCAACAGAGCTGATTCCATTTTGGTGAATTCAACCTTGGAGCTGTTCAAAGTTTGAAGAGGTTATTTTTGAGGGGTACTGAATGGGCTTGGGAAAAGCAACAGGAGCATTTGGATGAAGTATTTTTTCTAAGGCAAGACTTCTCCCACTCCTCTACTCTCCCCTTTGGGCTTTCTCAGTTATCTGAGAGTAAATAATGCTCCATACCCCTTGATAATTGTTATACTTTGGTCTTAATTCATTAGCAACTCCTTATCAAAGGAGAATGTAGAATCTCATTTCTCCAGAGGCTTATAATTTAGAGAAAGAAAAGACAAAGGATAGGGTAAGTCATATCATAAGACAAATAATAACAGAGAACAAATAGCCACTTGATAATCTTTTATAAATGAAAACTAGTTGCTAGGTTTTCCTTAACAAGTATATCTAAAATCTAATTTAGAATTGAACAGTGTTCTATTTACATATTTTCAGAATAAGCTGTTTAAAAGTTCTGTATTTTTGTTCTTATGAACATCCTATGTAAGTTATACATAACAAAAAACAGATAAAAGAACAGAATTTCAGTTTTCTTTTTCATAGAAAGTATATACTATCTGAGCACTAAACTTAAACGCACACCACACTCAGTACTCTGGAGCAGTGCCACTCAGTGTGTTCTCTATACCAGCAGCACAGGCATCACCTGGGAACTTGTCAGAAATGCAGAATCTCAGGCCCCACCCCAGACCCACCGCATCAGCAGGAGGAGTTAGTTAGCTCTCCACATGATTTGGACATCCACTTTAAGACAGTGATTGGGAGGGGAGGGGAGGTGTGTGCATCAGAATCACCTGGGGACCTACTGAAAATACACCTGCCACAGCCCTGCTCCAGGTGGTCCAGGGGGCCTTAAAGGAGGGGGCAGAGGCATCTGCATTTTAAAGCTTCACAGTGACTTGGTGGCAACTTCCTGGTTAAGAATTCATCCCTTAAGAAGGTTTTAACCAAAATCTTCAACACTTTTCCCATTATAGTCAATAAACCTTACCCTCATTAGTTATCCAATTTATTTCACAGTACAGGTGGGTGGTCTCAGATTAGAAAAATATGTATTCTCACTTTTCTCACTAAATAATGTGACAGACTAATCTACAGAATTTCTTCTTTTTTCAAAAGAATAAAAATGACTGTCCATTGATATTTTTCAAATTAATTACCTTTTCGCTAGGTAAAAGTTTCCATAGAGGGTCCATTTCTTTTCCAATTTGCTGCCATTATGCCACCTCCCTTCCCACCACGCTGTTAGTTCCTGACTGTATTCTTAGCTTATATACTAAAACATTTTAATTTGTATCCAAAAAACCGTTACTTCTTAAAATACTGGTTGGTAAATAACACATAATAAGTAGCTTCTAAAGTATAAATATGATTTCTGTCTTATTTAAGCAAGCAGGCTATATGCCATTTGGCCTTGTTTTTCCCTTAAAATATTTTTAATTTCCATGTATACTGTATTAGGCATATTTAATAAGCAAACATCTTAGTAAAATTACTTTAATTCTACATTTTCCCGTCTTCAATAAGCATTAGGTGAAAAACAGGTCTGTAATTATTTTACTTGTAATGTTAAACTAAAATCAAGATTTCACAGAAAATATTTTTGTGGATGATTTTGTTTTGACAAAGGTTATATGAAAAACACAAACCTTTCATCCTTAATTGAAAAAAACAAATTGTGACCTGATTGCTTTTTTTTACAAAACAGATTGATGATACAACATACCTCTGACTTTACTCATCTGTTAAGTGGATTTAACCAACTGCATTTTCCCATACTCCAAATGGCAATGGTATTTTGAGCATTCTTAAAAACACTGAATTATATTCAAAATTATTGTGAATCAATCTCTACCTATAGGTAAAAGGAGACAGGAACATAAAAATGAAGGCTTTTTATCTCCCTGCAGAATACCACATCTAACATATCAAGGACTGTGGAGGGAAATATCAAATAATGTGCACACTGATATGTAGCTATGAATAATTTTTTGTAGTTAATATTCTAGAATGGGCATTTAAGTTTCGTTTGTTCCCCCAAAGCAAACTATGTTAGGCTCATATATAGCAATACGACTTCTCAAAGTGTTTGGGATTGTTCTGTAGGAACTCTCCAATGTGTAAGCCACATAAGAAAACTGGTCTCACTAGCCAGTTATTACCCATTTTACTGGGATTAAAAATGACATTTACTGGTCTGAACACCTACTTTATTCATTCCCACTTAGCTCTAAATTAATTTTGGTGGTTTCAAACAATTAAATCCATCTTCAATGGAGAAAGAGTTGTCACTACTAATGATAGTTAAAGGAATGTATCATATGAACATTCCAAAGTTATATCAAGTAATAAAGAGCATCACTACTGGAATAAGGGTATAGACTCATAGAAGAGTCTAAATATAACTCATTTAGATGTGAAACATATGGCTAATCTGTTAGGTCACACGCTGTCAAAAATCATTATTTATGCATCAGGTATCCTATACCCCCTTCTTTAGAATCATCTAGAAGAAAATGAAAATATGTGTGTTTCATAATAAGCAAAGCTGAATTTCTCGTTGGGCAATAAAATAGCAAAATTGAAGCAATTTAAGATATTTATTTTAAAAAGTTACACTGAGATTTTTACACACTGTTGAAAACAATGACTAGTTTATTTGTCTAAGGGCGGCAGTAATTCACATTTCTCCCACGTTATAGTTGAGCCTCAGTTTAGTCCCAGAAAATACATAATAGAGTAGATTTTTCCCGATCTATCTACTGAAAAGGAATTTCAGAGCATGAAGGTAAAATGAAGCAGAAATAAAAGGACATTTTTAGATACTGACAATTTGTCCTTAGAATTTGGTTAAATTTGGCTTCTTCCCAAAATCCTGTACTCATATCCACAGAAGTAAATTTCAATTTTAGTAGCCCTAAAAGAACTGGGTGAGAGAAGATGATTAGCTATAATATTAAATAGCAAATACTTTGGCAGGAGTGAACAGGAGCACAAGTGAAGACATTCGCAAAGTACCTTTTTAATATCTCTGATGTGGTATGAGCTACAAATCAGAATGAAAGCATTATGGTCATCTGATTTCAGGGTGCAGGTGGGCATTAACAATGTAGTCAACAGGTCCATCCTGTACAGACAGAAGTGGAGATTCATGGGAAAAAATAAGCAAAGTGGTAGGGGAGAATAAAACACAGAAAAAACCATAAATTTGAGAATGTCCTCTCTTTCTGTCTGAAGAAAGGAGTCCCTGAAGCACGGAAAGTGTTTATCAGTGGTGTGCTTCTATTCCGTTGTTGGTGGAGGGCGTGACGCAGGCTCTGGCCAATCGTACACATCCGGCAGCAGGGAGTCGTATTCACTTCGCCATATTCTTTCTCGAATGTATCTGGTCTTGTCCTCAGGTTCCGGATATCGGAAAGCCATTTTATTAGCATATAGATATTCTGTAACCTGAAAAATAAAAAAGATTACTGTGTAGACTCTGAGTATTAACCCATTTAAGAGAAAAAGTATTATTAAAACATAAAGTAATGAATTTGGAAGAATGGTGTTTTTTTCATAATAAAAAATAACATTACTTTGACTCACTTCAAGACATTCACATACTATTAAAAGATAAAAACATCTGCAGTCTCACCAAAAGTTCAATGTATTTTAAAGTGACTTTAAAGTCCCCCCCCCGAATTATTATCAGCATTTCCTTAATACTTCAATAATTTTAAGCTCTACCGTGTGTTGGTCCAGCAGACCTACTTGGTAGCCTGCCCCACCTGTGTCCCTCCCCACCGCCCTGCTGAGACCGTGTGTAGGAGGCTCTACTTCCTAGTCATAGGTGACTGGACTAGGGTGAAAATCTAACCCAAAGTGAGCCAGATGTTTTTCCTCTAGAATTTGAATTAAAAGACACAGAAATTATTATAAATCAGGTGTTGGACACTAGAACTATAAGGTCAAGTAAAGTTAGGGCTAGAACCTATACATGGCAACTCACCACCACCATCACTGAGTGCCAGGCATGTTCTATGTGCTTTACGTGGGTATCTCATTTAATCCTCCCAAGAACCCTAGGACACAAGTACTATTATTATTCTCATTTTATACATGAGAACACCAAAGTTTGAGGAGTTTAAGTAACTTGCCCAAGCTATTTAAAGTGAGAACTGTTGCTTCTAACCCAAAGCATTCTGATTCTAGGTCCCAGACCCTAAACAGTTAAGCTAGGTTACTTCCCACCTAAACTGGCTTGAATGAATTTCTGATCTTTGTGGCAAGCCACACACAATGACTGGTGGTGAAGATAAAGCCTGTGACTCTCTGTTTTGATGTAAGATGGGGTAGTATGAAGAGCTTCCTCACAGGGTAGCATGGTGCCTGTCATCTAGTTAAGTTCTCAAGTTATGGTTTAATTTTAACTTTAAAACAATGCAGTGATACGTGGTAAAAAAAAAAAAATCAACAGAATTCCCTTGAACAACACGGGTTTGAACTGTGCAAGTCCACTTATATGTGAATTTCTTTCACTAAATATGTACTACGTGATCCCCAGTTGGTTGAATCTGTGGATGCGTAACCTCGGAAAACTGAGGGCCAACAGTAAAGCTATATGTAGATTTTCGACTTGCGCAGAGGGTCGGCCATTAACTTCCGCATTGTTCAAGGGTCAACTGTATTGCCCAGTCTGTTGCAGGAAACATATCTGTACCCACAAAGAAGGCTGGGGGCAAGGCCTGAGATGGGAGGGAGTCCTCCTTGATCAAGCAGGCATGTGGCAGGTGACCGGTGACTATATGGGGCTGCCCAGTGGCTGTGGGTGGTGCTGGGCGACAGATACACAGCACTGTCTGCTCACCTGATCCCGTGGCTCCTAACAAAGAAAGCCTCAGGACACCGGAGAAGGAGGGGGAAGAGAGACGATCCTGGGGGCTCTGCTCCTATACCAACCCCAGCACAGATCTCCGTCTATTTCCCCATGTACTACGTTTCATGCGGACACACGAGTAATCTAACCAACTGATACATCCCCAAATCTGTCCCACCTGTAATATCCTGTAATTCTCAAGTTGAACTCTATTCATCCTAATTCTGGGCTCTAAATTCTTCAGTTGTTTTACAACAGTAAGGTATTCTGGGGCTTCCCTGGTGGCTCAGTGGTTGAGAGTCTGCCTGCCAATGCAGGGGACGCGGGTTTGTGCCCCGGTCCGGGAAGATCCCACATGCCGCGGAGCGGCTGGGCCCGTGAGCCATGGCCGCTGAGCCTGTGCGTCCAGAGTCTGTGCTCCGCAACGGGAGAGGCCACAACGGTGAGAGCCCGCGTACCACAAAAAAAAAAAAAAGAATCATTTGGCAATGTGTATCAGAGGCCTTAGCATGTTAATCCTTTTGTTCTTAGGATTAGAAATTTATCTTAAGAAAAAACGATCACAAATGCACATAAAGACTTATCTAAGGATGTTCACTACAATATTATTTCCAACAAAATGAAAGATGCTTAAATGTCCCCCAAAATAGAGAAATGGTTAAGCAAACTATGATATAACAAAGAGAATTCCTTGAAGCATTAGTGATCATGAGAATTATTATTGATTTACCTGGGGAAAGGCTTACAATATATTAAGTGGAAAAAACTGCAGTGAGAAACCAATTTTCAAAACAGGCACAGGCTGACTGCATGTGTGTGCATTTTTATTATGTGTTTGAGAAGAAAAAACAATAGAAGGCAACAAATGCGAGTTATATTCTGTAGTAAGAATATGAGCAACCTAAAATTTCTTTGCACCCTCTAAATGTTTCTGATTTTTCTCTAATGAACTTGTGTTACTTGCATGAAGAAAACACCATTAAAATTTATGTGAAGAGGTATAAATTATTACTTACTTTAACAGCAATGTTAATAGAAACTTCCTGAATATTAGCAAGTGGCGGGTAAAGTCTCCCCTGAGCTAGCTCTTTATCCGTCAATTGATTTGTCAGAGCCTGAAGAGAAAAAAAAAGAATTTTACTTTTGGTTGCTTAAATAACAGAATAATAAGGACTAATAAAATGGGGAAAGGGTTGGGGGAGCAGAGAATAATACAGGTAACATGTTTTCCTTATTTCTAGCAGGAATACACTTAAACCACTGTAGAAATTAAAACCGTTTACCACTAAACAGTAAAGAAATAACCGGATTTAAAGACTTTAAAAAAAAATCAGATTTAAAGACATTTTATCTATGCTGTCACAATTATGTTACTTTCAGATATGTATAATACAGGTACAGTATTTATGAAAAGATTCATCGCTTACAATCCAACACTGGAAAAATGATAAATTAATTTTATGCAAAAGTAGAAGGTAAATCAAAAAAGCAATGGATGAGTAACTTCCTTTCCACTCATAAGGCAGATTTAACCCATTCTCTCTCTGTTTTTAAGATCCATTCAGATTTATAATTCATCCTCTATAAAATAACCAAAAAATATTTAAAACATTTACCTTTGCAGCTTCTAGGAAAACATGGTCACTAATATGCCGGGTGTTACAGAGAATAACAGCTAAAGCCACACCTGGAATACATTTTAAATAGTTTACTTAGTAAGGTCACTTCCAATTATGAAAGTAGCCAAATAAATTCCTAGATTTAAAGCAAATTAATGGTAACCCACCCCTACCCCAAACAGCCCCTTCAAACAACGAAGCAGGCAAGATAAAACAGAAATCTGAGCACTAAAATTAAGTGATCTTTAACTGTTATAATTCTTACTTATTAGAAGAAATAATTTTAGAAATATCAAATGGCTTTTCTCAATTTAGTTTTCAAAATTACAAATGCATACAATTCATCAACAGTTGTTACAAAAACATAAATTCCCGGGACTTCACTGGTGGTCCCGTGGTTAAGAATCCGCCTTCCAATGCAGGGGATGGGGGTTCGATCCCTGGCTGGGGAACTAAGATCCCACAATCTGTGGGGCAACTAGGCCCATGCACCGCAACTACTGAGCCCACGTGCCACAACTAGAGAAAGCCATGCGCCACAACGAAGAGCCCATGCGCTGCATCTAAGACCCAACGCAGCCAAAAATACATAAATATTAAAAAAAAAAAGTTGATACTGACTTAAAAAAATCAATTCCCAGTCCATCTCTAACCCTCCATTTCTTGCTCTACAGAAGTAACTACTTTTAATTCTTTTAGCTGATTATTTTAGTATTTCTCTCTCTCACAGCTTGCTTCTATTTCTTCTTTTAGTTTTGGAGATCACCGACTCCTTCCTGTTGGAAATAAGTATTTAGCTCTCTTGCACATTTCCAGCCCTCTTACCAATATAGTTAGAGCATAATTTTGGTTGAATCAGTGTTCAGTGTTTATATTATTATGACTTCATAAGTGCTCTTCACAACTGAGCCGTGTATTAACATTATATCCTAACTTTTCCTCTTCTGCCTTTTTGTTTTCCCTAAGGTTATTGTCCTGCTTTTTCCTTTGATTTTTCGGTACTTAAAATTATTTCATGCTGAGACACTTATTCATTTAGTTGTCTAAATCATCTAGTAATTTCAGCTATTTCACATTTCTCTAATTTCATCCTCGAGAATAAATCTCTGCTGAAATTCCAATCTGGCTTGGTTGCTCTCCATTCCAGATATGGAGCTATCATCCTAGAAACTCTCTTCATCTTCATGGGGCTTCCCTTTGCTTCTAAGTTGAGTCCATTTCCTAAATCTCACTTCTTCCTAGTATTTTTGTTACTCCCTTTTTTGGGTAGGATATATTCTCCAGTAGTTTTCTGAAAAACAGTGCATAGGAGATACATTTCTGGAAATCTTGCATTTTTGAAGAGCCCCCGCCAGCACCCCAACACACACACACACACACACACACACACACACACACACGTTTTTACTACCTTCCACTTTATTTGATAGTTTGTCTGGGTTTAAAATTCTAATTTGGAAATAATTTTCCTTCAGAATTGTAAGGCATGATTTCAATACCTCATAGCTTCCAGCATTGTTGGTGAGAAGTCTGGTGCCAATTTGACTCCAGATCCTCTTTCAACAATTATCTTTTTGTTGCATCTCTGGAAGTATGTAGGATCTTTTTTTGTACCTAATGTTCTGTAATTTCACAATGTGTGCCTTGAGGTGCATTACTTTCACCCACCATATTTGGCACTTGGTAGGTGGGCCCTTCCTATCTGAACATTGGGTCTTGCAATTTGGGGAAATGTTCATGAAGCCTTTGATAATTTCCTTCCCTCCACTTTTCTGTTCTCTCTCCCTGAAATTTCTACTTTCTGATATTGTACCTCCTGGACTAGTCCTCTAATTTTCTTTTATTTTCCATCCTCCGATCTTTGCTCTATTTCCAGATGACTTCTTCAATTTTTTCTTATAATCCTCCTACCAAACTTTTCATTTTCCAGAGCTCATTTTTGTTTTCGAATTTTTTTAAAAATAAAATTCTGT